TGTCAAACAAAAAGATCTGAAATGAAGCAAACAAAATCCCCTACACAAGGCACGGATTATCAGTTAATGAAACCACAGTCACAGAAACTATGCCCTGTAGTACTTACTCTGCACAGTAAAATTGGGATGGCAAAACAGCCACCCCTCTCTGCCTGCCTGACAAGCTTCAAAAGGGAATTAAAGCTGAAATTACAGCCTTCAAAAGATAGACATTTATTCCTAGAAAAGTCAAATGGAGCTTCCAGCTGTAAGCTCAGTGAAGCAGAAATGAAGACCAAAGTGCCTGTGAAAAAGCACACAACTAAAAGGCACACTTTCAGTATTTCAGAAGGAGCACAGCTGTAGAAGAATTGAAGTCTTACTGGATCACCCCAGGAAAGAGGAGAGAGCAAGGACACAGACACGGAAAGAAGAGATTTGTCCTTAGGACTCTGCAAAATGGGAGTTTATCAAAATTCAGGTTCAGCTGCCTTGGACACATCCTCTTCCAGCAACACACAGAACCACCATCAGAAACCAGACACTGGATTACGGCTGACAGCAGCAACAGTAACCAGGTGTTCCTCAGAGATGTCCACAGGATCCAAGGGCTTCAGCGCAAAGCAGCTGAGCTGTAGGCACATGACTTCCCTCACCAAAACCAACTCACAAGCCAAAGCGCTAGGGCTTTTTCTTTTTAAAAATGAGATCTCAAGCAAAGTGCACCTTACAGAGTCCTGCATCTTCATCTGTCAACTGTCTGAAGCCATAAATGACAAAAAGCACAAATTACAGAGGACCTGGGACTAGGGATGGTTAGAATGGCAGTTTCATACCAAGAGACACAAAAGTCTTTCTAAATGAGAGATGGAGTAAACACAGAGGAAACTACATTAAGCAATCACCTCATTTAACTCTAGGAGTATTTCCTGAAACTGAACAGGACAGGGCAGGATCTCTTTTTCACCATCAAACAAACATAACTCTTCTACACTTTGCTGACCACCTTACACAATTAAATTCTTTACAATAGTGAAATACAGAAACACAAAGACAGAAGTGACCTGTACTACAGCAGAACTAGTTTTCACCTTTTCTAGTGAGTGTTGCTTTGGACAAGAATATTTGACAGAAACAGAAGGTGACATTCAAGAATTTTCCTGACATGTAACTGCCCTTTTGCTATTAGCTCTAAACTAGACTTTAGATGAAGCTATATTACTTGACAAGCATATTTACTGAGACATAGAAAACAAACCCATATAAATAAAAACGATATGCAACACTCGAGTACTCAGAACACTATTAGCAGGTTGTCTGTGTTTTGTTACAGATGCATCAACCATCTGACAACGTAGTAACTCGATCTCTCCATTCACTTTAGTCTTCTGAGGAGACATCTCTGGACAAGGGAACAGATTTTAAGTCCTGTGTTTTACCTAAATTTCCAATAAGAACTTTGCAACATTAACATTCCAGCTATCTATAGGGGCAATATAGATTCACTGAAAAAAATAATTAAAAAAATCTAAACATCATCTCTCATACCCTCACTGAAAACAGCATTATGTACACTGATCATGTCTCTGGGATACATCAAGAATTAAACAACCCAGATAACACTCCGTCTCCTGCAACCAGCTTGCAGTGGTACCAGTTAGAAGAGACACTTTACTGTTGACTGCATATTTGAGAGCTAATGGCATGAACAAGTTACCCACTACCTCTCCTGTGATGAATTCATTATCATCTTCTCCAAGGCCTCTCTGAACACCAAACTTGGATGGGAGGGCAGATAGTTATAAGGTGTTATTTCAAGCCAAAAATCCATACTTGCAGTGCTCTAGCACACTTCCAGGTACCAGCAAACAGCAGGACTGATATATCTGACCCATACCTCTTCCCTTTGAGTTTCTGTAGTTCAGTCCACACCACAGGCTCTTACTTCAAATTCAAAAAATCTTCAGAGTAAAGACTCTGCCTCTTTTACTTATTTTTATATAATTATTTTTTTTCAAATAAATCAAACATCTAACCTATGTCCTGTTGTAGTTCAACTAAAACAGAACAAGGAAGAAGATGCCAGCCTGCTTGGCTTTCAGCTCCTCAACACTTTGCCAGGAAAGCAGGTTACAGGAAGGTCAGCATTTAGCAAGAATGCCAACATGACTGTCACTTATTAAGGTAATAATCCCTACTAACAGCAGAAACACCTCCCAAAATGGCTCTCCCTGCTAAGGAGAGGGAAATTGCAATTTACAAAGAATATCTTGAAGCTGCCCAGGTACATCCAGTGCTTGGATTCACTCTACTGAAATCCCGCCACTGATGAGCACCATTACCACACAGTTAATCTCAACCTCACACAATTATTTCAATCAACCACAAAGCTAACCTACAGACCAACAAGATGAAGCAAGTGAAAGAAGCTTTAGGAAATCCCTCACAAATTTAAGATAATGCCTTAGTAAACTCACATGTGGATGACACTTAGGCCTATATTACTTCCTCTTTGTCACATTAAAAGTAAATAGCTGTCATTATTACTTTTGGACCATTTTCATGCTCCACTTTAAAGGCTTCTTCGGCAAAACCTTCCCTCAATATGAAACAGGCAATAATCCACTCAGGAGAAAAGCACATCTCGATTTCCATATGTTGTCTACAACCTGATCAGAAAATACTTACTTCTCTCTCATCTAGAAGAAATAAATAATTGTAATATCAGCCTAGTGTGTCCTGATGCTGATACATCCCTTTCTAACCCAGCTGTCAGGAGGAGAGAACTTCAGTGCCTCAAACTGAAGTCCAGAGAAGGGCCACAAGGATGATCAGGGGACTGGAGCACCTCCCGTATGAAGACAGGCTGAGGAAGTTGGGGCTGTTCAGCCTGGAGAAGAGAAGGCTGCACGGAGACCTCAGAGCAGCCTTCCAGTATCTGAAGGGGGCCTATAGGGATGCTGGAGAGGGACTCTTCATTAGAGACTGTAGTAACAGGACAAGGGGTAACGGGTTCAAACTTAAACAGGGGAAGTTTAGGTTGGATATAAGAAGGAAATTCTTTCCTGTTAGGGTGGTGAGGCACTGGAATAGGTTGCCCAGGGAGGTTGTGAATGCTCCATCCCTGGCAGTGTTCAAGGCCAGGCTGGACAAGGCCTTGGGCGATATGATTTAGCATAAGGTGTCCCTGCCCACGGCAGCGGGGTTGGAACTAGATGATCTTAAGGTCCTTTCCAACCCTAACGATTCTATGATTCTATGAAACAAAAGTCACAAGCAGTGACAAATACTGGCCACACAGAGCACCAAAGTGAAGGCTACTGCAATGCAAGTTCCATAATCAAGAAAACCTTGACAAATCCAATGAAACAAGTTTTATATGCCTAGTAGTATTGCAAATGTAAATATTCCTTCTATGGTTGGAGGTAACATCCTCAAAATTAAACTGTAAACACTGATTACTTGGCTAATTCACATCCATCATAATAATGTAAAGAGCACTGAGAAAAATCTGACGAGATATCACAGAGTCAATATGGCAGTTAAAAACTGCAACAGAAACAGAGCTGAAAACATTAAGAGAACAGCTTGCAGGAAACAAAACCCCCCAAAAAACCATGCATAAGGCAAGTAGAGTTGGATAATTAAAATCAACACACAGACAAATACTCCAAGGAAGATGGCAAGGTGAAAACAATACAAAGCCCCCTTTCAATTAAATAATAAATAAAGCAGGGAGTTAGCATACTAAGAACACAGTAACAAGAGGATTTAGGACTTGAAACTTTCGTAACATTTAAGCAAGCCAGGATTAAACCAAAATCACCCCAACCCAAGTAAGACTTCATTCTAGGTGCACTCACCTAGTCAAAGACAGCATCAGAGCCAGTTCTGTGTGCCTCAAACCGTGGAATGACTCTAAAGGTTTCCCTACAGCCCTGCCTACAATGCAAGTTTTCTTAAACACACACACACACACGCCCATTCTATGATGACAAAACCAGACCAGAAGACACTTGGAAAGCACACGGTTAAAGTGATGTTTCCAACAGGCTGCACATGACAAACTTCCAATCTCCCCTCTGCTCTCTCACCAAACAGGAGTGGGTACCTGAGGGACAAGCTGTCACATCCCATCAGAAAAGAGTTCACCTGGATGGATACACAAATAGCAACAAACGCTGCAGAGCAGAGAAAAATGTCAAAGTATGCTATAAAGCCCAAAAAGTCAAACTTACACTCAGCTGTTGATGATTTAATTTTGCTTTTCCTACATTTCTGAAGTTAGGGCAGGATGATGAAAGCCTCTGATCTCAATGACACCTTTCCTGGCTCCCCAGTTTGCCTGGTCAGCCTCACGTTTTACAGAGACACAAGCACAAAATGCTGGTATTTTCACCCAAGACAGCGATGGGAGCAGTGGCCGGGATCAACACCCCTGATCGCTTTCAGGCACACGATTTCAAGTGACACTTCGGCTGGAAACGAGCGAGCAAACATGCAATTCACTCACTCCCAAAGGTCGGTCTGGAGAGGAGCCGACCCCCAGGCCCCGCCCGTGAAGCGGACTCCCGAACCACAGCGGCAAGAACCGACTCCCGGGGCGGCTCCACAGCCGCAGGAACCGAAGAGCGCCGCGGTCCCGCACCGCCAGCGGGGCCCGAGGGTCCTCCCCTCGCAGGGGTCGGCCAGGCCAGCGCAGGGAGAGGCGCGGGGAACAGGGTCCCTCCAGAGAGGAACCGGAGGCGGCCAGACCGGGCGCCCACGCGCCGCCAGCAGGACTGGGACCGGTGTGACGGGACAGACTCCGCTAGAACCGGGAGGACGAGAGGCGACGGTGCTGCCCACAACAGCGAGAAAACGGGGTGGTGGAAAGGGAGAAGCGTCGCTTGCCAACAGAAGCCCCTCTCAGCTTTTGGAGGGGAAGACCGACCAGGCAGCTGACAACGGAACCCACCGGGGTGGGAGCGGGGGAGAGGGAGAGACGACACAGCCGCGCCGGCCCGCGGAGCTGCATCTACCTTGTAGACGTCGCCGTAGGTGCCGCTGCCGATGCGCTGGATGAGCTCGAAGTCCTCCTGGGGGTTGCGCCGGGACAGGTCGCACACCCGCCCGCCGCCTCCACTCATGGTGCCGAGGGAGGCCCTGCTCGGCCGCGGCCCCCGGGCCGGGGGAGGAGGAGGGAACCCGACACCGGAGCACTCACCGCCTCCCCCACACTGCGCAGGCGCTCCGCCCCACTACCCAGCCACCACCCTTACGTCTGCGCAGGCCGGCATCAGGAGGGGCGGCCTCCACTGCGCATGCGCCACTCCTGTCCCGCTGGTTTCTGCGCAGGCTCTGTCCGGGCGGGGGCGGCTCGCAAGGTTGCCATGTCTCCGGTGCGGCGCCGCGCCGCGGCCGCTGTGGCTCAGGGGTTCCCGCATCCCGAGCCCGATGACTTCCGGGGCTGCTGGCGGGGGGCTCGGCACCGACCACTGGTACGTAACCTACCCGCGGCGGCACCGGCACCTGCCGGTTCCCCGCTTCTCCTCCGGCCCCCACCTGCTCCTGGTCTTCGCCAGGCACGGGCACCAACTCCCGCCTTGGCAGCCTCGTCCTCGGGGGTGAGCGGTGTTGCCGGCTCGGGGACCGCCTGGTTCAGCCCCTGTGCTTGCAGCCGGTGACTCAAAAAGCTAGATCCGTGCATGTTCACTGGGATTCCCCCTCAAAAGACAGCTCCCAGTCATGTAGCAGGCAGACCCCAAAGCCAGCCCCTTGGCACGGGAGCTGCCTTTCATCCATCCATCCATCCATCCATCCATACATCCATCCATCCATTCATCCATTCCCGGAGCCCACGCATGCGGTTGATGACCCCCAAAATTCACCAGCCCCTGTGCATGCTGTTGGGAGCCCCTGCAGTGCCCAGGGGCAGCCCCCCCATGTTGTCCCACCTGCCGTGGTGCCCAGCCCCTGGTCTCTAGCTTGGGACAGGGCACTTCCCTACTCCTCAGAGCGTGGCAGTACAGCGCTCCCTGCCCCGGTGCACAGAAACGGGAAGTCACTGGGATCCCAGCTTTGCCAGCTTCTGTGAGAGCCTATAGAATCATAGAATAGTTAGGGTTGGAAAGGACCTTAAGATCATCAAGTTCCAACCCCCCTGCCATGGGCAGGGACACCTCACACTAAACCATGTCACCCAAGGATCTGTCCAACCTGGCCTTGAACACCACCAGGGATGGAGCATTCACAACTTCCCTGGGCAACCCATTCCAGAGCCTCACAACCCTTATAGTAAAGAACTTCTTCCTTATAGCCAATCTAAACTTCCCCTGTTTAAGTTTAAACCCGTTACCCCTTGTCCTATCACTACAGCCCCTAATCAAAGAGTCCCTCCCCAGCATCCCTACAGGCCCCCTTCAGATACTGGAAGGCTGCTATGAGGACTCCACGCAGCCTTCTCTTCTCCAGACTGAACAGCTCCAGCTTTCTCAGCCTGTGAGGTGCTCCAGTCCGATGATCATCCTCGTGGCCCTCCTCTGGACTTGTTCCAACAGTTCCATGTCCTTTTTATGTTGAGGACACCAGAACTGCACACAATACTCCAAGTGGGGTCTCACGAGAGCAGAGTAGAGGGGCAGGATCACCTCCTTTAACCTGCTGGTCACGCTCCTTTTGATGCAGCCCAGGATATGGTTGGGTTTCTGGGCTGCAAGCGCACACTGAAGCCGGCTCATGTTCATTTTCTCATCAACCAACACCCCCAAGTCCTTCTCCGCAGGGCTGCTCTGAATCTCTTCTCTGCCCAACCTGTAGCTGTGCCTGGGATTGCCCCGATCCAGGTGTAGGACCAGGTGTAGCTTCTTTGGCCTTTGACAGCTCTTGTGGGGGAACCACACGTTATGGATGCCCCCACATCTGCACCATGCTGTGCACCTGCGAGTCCCCCACACCAATGACACAGCATTCATGTGAACCAATCCTGTGCACCCAGGCTGGGAAACCTGCTCATCCATGGGACTGTTTCCCCTTATTTTGTGACTTTTGGAGTGTTATGCATCCACCCCCCAGGATAAAGTGGCACCCTTTCCTCCTTTTACACCAGTGCTGCCAGTCCCACTCCCATCTTGCACGTGGCTTTCCAGCATGGAGGAGGCACATGGGTGCTGGCCTCCATCCCCAGCTGTGCCCCCCACCCTCTGTGTGGGGAACAAGTGCCAGGTGGGTGTGGGAACCCTTGTCCCCAGGCCAGGTTGGACGGGGCTTTGAGCAACCTGGTCTCGTGGAAGGTGTCCCTGCCTGTGGCAGGGGGTTGGGAATAGATGAGCTTTAAGGTTGCTTCCAACCCAAAACATTCTATGACTCTACATACAACCCTGGAACATGGCTATGCAACATGTGGTTCCTAGGGCATTTCTTGGGCTCTGTGCTGGTGAACATGGCTTTTCCCACCACACTCCCACTGCCAGTGACTGATGGGTGAAATGAGAACAGTGGGATGAGGGGTGACTTTGGGCTCAAAGATGCACCATCTGCTTGCCACCCTGTCTGCCTTGCCAAGGGTGTTGGCATCGGGGACACTCCTCTCTGCTGAGAAGGTGCTCCTTCTCTCCTGAGAGTGGCCTTCTCTCCTGAGAAGGAGCTGGGCATGGCCTCATTTCAGTGTGTGATTATCAGAGCAGAGAACGAGCTGAGGGGGGTGAGCTCTGGCAAGTCTAGCAGTGATGGCTGCGGAATTGCGTAGCGTCTGTCAGTGCATTTATCGCTCTAGTCACCCTAGGCCATGCATCCCTGTCCTTGGCTTCGTTTTTATGACCTTTGCTCTCACAAGTAAAACCTGCCAAAATCGGATTCAGGCCACTGTGATTTTTCCTGGCACGTGATCGAGGTTTTGGGGATGTGCTGTGCTGCTTTCTGCTGCAGAAGAGCTGGGACAGGCAGCAGGTATACTTAGCTGGATGGGGCTGCCACAAATGCTCCAAGAGCCAATCCAAGAGGACTAGGCTCTGTGACAAGTTCAGGAGTAGCAGCAGCTCTGGATGAATTATGGAAGGAAATGACAGGGAGTTTGAGCTCTGTCCGGAAAGGCTGACAGACATCCTGCTGGGGAACACCGATAATCTCATCACCCACCTGCTCTTGCCTCTCAGTCATCATTTTTATCTCATTGAAGAGGAAATGGGTTATAGATATTCCCATGCCAAGTTCTGCTTGGATAGAAATGGTTACGAATGAAGAGTTATTTTTCCCCTTAAAACCTGCTTTCTACCCACAGCAGCTGCCAGTGCTTCCTCTGTTCTTACAAAAACACCCATGAGTTTCTTCAGGAATGTCTATGTCCCTTCACCTTGGTAAAAGAGACAGATGGAGGTGAGAGATGTGCCCTCTGCTGCCTTCAGAAACAGGTCAGATTAAATGGGTATCAGGCATCATTTGCTTCTCCAAGCTTTGGGGCAACTTTTCCTGCTTTTCCTTTTTCCTGCTATTCCTTAGATGTGGCTTAGCTGTGTAGGACAGTTGAGCCGTATGCTGCAGGGAGGCAGACTGGGCTCCTCTTCAGCATTGCTCAGGAAAGTCAAATGAATTAATAAAAAATGCATTTGGATGTTAAACATTTTTGTTCATCCAATTCTCTTGCTTTAAGAGTTGTTCTGGTGATGGTGGGGGATTTGCTGGGACATTTGACTGCTGTGCTTCCAGAGATCATAAGCCCCAGCTGTAATCAGTGGCACCCCACAGACACAGAAAATACCTTGCTGAGGCTGCATGTCTTGTATTTCCAGCTGCACTCACAGCCCATCCGTCCTGTCACTGCTGCTTAGGTCCAAAATGCCACTTCATGCTTTAAAGCCCTAAATTCTGGCCACTGCTTGAAGCAGAAGCACTGTCTCTTTAGCCAGCATGCGCTGGCAGGATCCACCTGCCTCCATTCACGTTGCACCAGTGCAGTTTGCCACAGCGGGAGATCCCTTCTCAGCCCTCTGGCATATTTCCATGCCAGAGGAAAGGACAAGCAGCTATGGAGGAATGGTATAGCCTGGGGCCAGCCTGTCCCTTTTGCTTATGGAAGAGCTGCTGTGACAGGGAGAGTGTCCTTACAGAGCCACAAAGCACCTACTTGAGCCCAGTTGCATCAGACATGGAGATAGGCAAGTGTTTTCTGGAATGCTGAAGGCTGCCTTGATCAGTGGAAGAGCTGTGGTTTGTGTCAGTCCCAGGGCAGGTTGGTTGTGGTTGTAAATAGTGCCCGAAAGAAAGTGTATGAAGGGAAGTTTAAATTTAGAGAGCCCAGTTGTCTCCAGATGTGGGAGGCCCATGTACGTACTGGCCAAGCCCACACTGGTATGCTCCTGCTGCAGTCACTCCTGATTTCCAGGGAAATGAGCAAAGCCTCACACATTTAGGGATGACTCTTACAGTGTAAAAAAGCAGTGCAGCCTGGACGTTTTCCCCTTCTCCTCAAACATGAGGCTTTTACACTCTACTTCACAAAACAAACAAAAAGAATCTTTCCAGTGTTATGTCACAGTCTGAAGACCTGGCTTCTTCTGTGCTCTCTTGCTCTTTAAAACCTCCCGAGCTGATGTCTCCCCCCCAGCCTCTCCTGACCACAGCCAGCATCTCTTAGGTACTAATTCCTTTGGCATCCAGTGTCGATTCCCATCTGTTCTGGGCTGCCTTTTGCTGGTTGCTCCCTGTTCAGCTGAGCAAGCCCAATTCCACCCTCCCAAGCACCCAGCACCCTGGCTCAAGGAGGGGCACCCACACAGGATGAGACCCTTTGCACTGTGTGCCTGGTTCATCAGTGACTGCATGACCAGGGATTGCCTTTTAGAGCAGCCACCTCTGTGGTATCACACTGAGAATCAAGGTGCCAGCAGTGACCGCTCAGGCTGGCATTTGCTCTGCAAAGAACGCGGAAGGCAAAAACGCTTTTCTGTAGGGAAACATGCCCCAGAGCAGCAATGACTGCAGGGTGAGGCAGGGCACATCTCCCTGGTGTTTGCCCTTTGGGGATATCAATCAGTGGCGCAGCATGTGACAACTGGAATGCAGCCCGTCTCCCTGCCTCCCTCCTGCTCCCCTGCAAGATCCATGGCTCAGCCAGCACGGCTGCCATCCAGCATGGGCTGCCTGGGAGTAGTTAGCAATAGCCAGTTCCCAGCAGGCAGGGTTCCTGTCTGTGATTTTGCATTACTCAGAGCACTGGGTCTCCTGCTGCAGTGCA